CACACACACACACACACATGCAGCACATGAGGCACCCACAACAACCTGATCTTGCACACATTGACAAACGCTACCGAGACAGAGACCCCTTCCCTTAGGCTCGCACGGTGCCCTTCTTGCCACCGGTGTCACCGCACTCGGCTGTGTGCACACCATCGCTCGCCCCGAGCTGCTTGCCGTCCTTCCCCATGGCAATCGCCCGGTACACCATGCAACGGCCGCCAGGCGTCAAGGCCGTCTTGGTCAGAGCGACCGAGTGCTCGAATCTGGTCCGCTTGTGTTTCGTCACTCGGGTGAATGGCTTGCCGGGCCCCTCTGCCGCCTCGATGCGCCACGCAGCCACGTCGGTGGAGCCGTTCCAGCTGTAGTAGAGCACCTGGTCGATGAGCAGCAGCGTCGGGCGCCAGTGCGGTGTGACGTTCCGCCACCCGTATTTCCTCGCCCTGTACGAGTTGGCGCCGCTCATCCAGTCGAACGATAGCAGCAGCTCGCCGTCGACAGAGACCTCCTCGACAACAGGCAGGTGGCCGGTGATGTGCATCCCCCCCCAGCCGATGACCCCGGTGCCCTTGTCGGTCTTCTGAAAGCTCCCATGGCACCGCGAGACATAGCGGTACTTGAGGCTGCCATCTGCACGTCTGGGGCCGCTGTAGGAGAAGATCCTCTTGGCCACCATTGAGTGCTGATCGAGATTGTATTCAAGTGCCCGTGACGAGAACGTTGTCTCAAAGCTGGCAACACCACCAACACACCCGGGTACGTAACGGTCGAGGAATGCATTATCGAAGACGGTCAGCCTGTTGCCCTTGAGCGATGCGTCATGCTGCCCGATGAACGATGGCATCTTGGATTCTGCATCCATCATGGCGCAGGCACACATGGATTAGAAACAGACACAATCTCTGATTTCCACGCGACTAACTTACCGCCCTTGGGAGCGGCGTCTTGGGTAAGCTTGAACTGGTTGAAGGCCTGGGTGCCCCCCAGCCGCCACACAACATCGCCGGTCTCCCTGTCGACCTTCAGCACACTGCTGGTCCCCCTCCAGCTGATGACGATGCTGTCGTCGTCCGTGAAATCTACTGAGTTTCTTCGAACGCACAATAATGACGCACGCGTGGAACACGCGAGATGGATATGAGGGAATGTACGACGAGTATGTGTGTTGCCTGGCTGGTTCGAAGCACTTACTGATGAATCAGGTCCCATATCGGGCTCGTAGCGTTGAACTCGATGGCAGACTGCTTGATGAGCCAGGGCAGCTCGAAGTGGTCCCACGAGCGAAATTCCATGACAACGTTGTTCTGATGGTCGACCTCCTGGACGACCGCACCCACGATTTTGACTGCGGTGTCTGGGGCGCCCTCCCACATGCCCTTCACATTGATGGGCTGCGGGTCGCTGCGACATAACATACCACATCATGTTGAAAGGAAGAGTGCTGTGTACGTGAGCATCGTCTCTGTTTCTGTTACGCGATTGTGAAGAGCCGGTTCCCCTTTGCGTCCATTCGCATGTCGTGTGCATTCAACTGGTAGCCTGACAAAGGGGACAAAGAGGAAAATGGCACGGCTTAGGTAAGCTGTCTGTCCCACCGTGCTCGGGATGGTGTCGTCTGACGAAATTGAGGTCATTGTCCTTTTCAGTGATTGCCTCGTTCTCTTTCACGAGCAGCCGGCCCATCGGCGATATCTCAATGATGCCCGGCGCCTCCCCTCGAGTCTGATTCTTCCATTCACCCCTGGCATCGTAATAGACAAGGTCACCATGGTTGTCCACAACCATCACTGCTGGGTGCCACACGTGGCCAAAGGGTTCCGTGTCGAAAATGCTGCAACATCCACCACGATCATCACACACACCCTTGCCAGATCATGAAGAAAGCTGTTTCCCTGTCTGTCCGCCCGTTGTGCCGTCTCACATGTTTGACATGAAGAAGTAGCCCGGGGCAAGCTGATCATACTTGGGCTTCCCCCGCACCCGCATCCGCGGCAGATGGTCGGGGATGGTCTTGTAGTGGTTAAAGGGCGCCTCGTACCTGACGTACACACACGGCACAGACGCACGCATAGGGACAGACACAGATAGGGGGTGGGGTGAGTGTGTGGGGAATGGATGTGTATGTGTATGTGTATTCGTGTAAGGGTACCACCCCTCCTCCATGTCAGCCATGGCAGGTGGGAAGGGCAATTTGGGGGGCGGGCCTTGGCGGTCAAAACTGAGGACTGACGCGTGAGTGTTGAGGGGTATAGGCTGGTTCATGAGTGCCTTCGGCTCGATCGGAGCCCAGTCGTTGCCCGCGTATAAGCGTGCACCGGGATAGCCACCATGATGGTCCGACACAATGAATGACCACTTAACGCCTGCATTCGCACACACACGCACACGTGCCCAACACAGTGAGTGACAGCACCAGCCTGGCGTGTTGCCCCGTTCCCTTCCCCCCTGCCGGACTCCCTGTCCATCTACCTGGCAGCACGGTGCCATTGACTGTCTTGATGCCGGGCTTTACAAGCACGGTGACCCGCTCTCCACGCGGCAGCGGCTTGTTGGGTGTGGCGGGCTTATAGATGAGGGTGCGCTGGTCGGAGGACAGCACCGTTTGCCCCTCGTCGCGGGCCGACACCTTGACCTTGCTCTCCAGGCCATCAGACAGCAGCACCTCTCCGTGGCGGAGGGCGATGGTCGTGAAGGGCGACACATATCTGCACACACAAAGGCCACATCGCATCAGTTGCAAACGCCGGGGTGAGTGTGAGTATCTCTTGCGGTTCTTCTGTTTGGCGCTCACTGTGCGTGTTCCCTTGGGTGGATGTAGGCGAGGCCGCTCTCCCTGAAGGTCAAGTACTTATCCTGCTGCTGCTGCTGCTGTTTCTGGGCGAAAGTGTGTCGAGTGAAAAAGGCGAAGAGGCAGAGGGCGATGCCAATTGCCATGGCAGCCGGGGTGCTCGTGAACCACCACATTGGAGAAGTGACGCCCCACGTCTAACGCCAACGCTCGCTCACATTATTCTGAGTCATGGGCGATATGAAGACGAATCTGCTCTC